GATCATATGAACATGTTCTTGGACATTTTGGAAAGGTCTTGAAGTCCTCTAACCAATGCCTTTGGTCCCATGTCATTTTGATTTACCAATCTCAAGTTATGGTCTTTGACTTAAAGTGCCTTTATGTTGACTTTTGAAATTGACCTATAATGTAGAAATTGATAACTTTTTGTGAGAGCATTTCTTGGACTTGGAATGTGAAGATGAGTTGTAGGAAATGTCATCCCCTTAAAAATGAGCATTGGATGGGATTTTTCTGATGAACCATGAAAAAGTTATGCCTTGGTCAAGTTACAGTTGACTTTTCAGCTGTCCAAAAATAGAAACTTTTGCATCTTGATGATTTTTGAGCCATGCTTGTGGAATCATGATCAAGACTTGATCAAATGATGATTGTGGCTTCAAAATAAGATGTTGACCAAAATTTTTGACTTTTGACTGCCAAATGACCATTTTGCCCCTGCAGTTGATTGTGGAGCAATTAGGGCTTTTGACTGTGCAACTTGATGCTGTGAGTCTTGAGACTTGACATGTAGATGCTTGGCAATTTATATAGACCTATGGGACTTGATTGAGCCCTTGAAAACCTCAAATTCCTTGCAAGAAACAAAACCCTAATTTTGACTGGCTTAGGAGGATGTTTGACTGTGTAATCCTTGAGAAGTCTTGAACCATTTGAGGATGATTCTTGACAAACCTTGAAGAATATGGGAGGGCAAATTTTGGGGTACAACACATGGCTTCATGAGTTGATTCTATGTCATATTTGTCAGTCCAAATACAAGCCAACAACATGTCCAAATTCATGCAAGGCATCCAAGAGACAAGTATAATGCAAAAAAAACAAGTTTTCAATGTGTTAGAATATTGATTTCATGGGCATGAATACCTTGTCCCTTTCCATACTTGTTGGATCCTATTTCATTCTCTATATAAAGGTAAGCAAAGACATGCCAAAGGACCACAAAATCATTGCATAAAAAGCTCTCCAAAAATTCTCTAAAATTCAAAGAAGTTGTGAAAATTATATCTCACATTTCCAGCAAGTTCCAATCCGAACTAAGGCTAGCATTCACCTCCTGAAGATCAAAGAGTTGATCTAGATCCATAGTTGTACTCCTCGACCACCAGAACACGATCTGTGCATCACGCCGATTTTTGAAATTGGTAAAAATCAAAACTATGTTTTCTTTCATTTTTAATCATTATAACATGTTTGGTCTCCTCCTATGCATCATTAGAATAGGATAGGTACATTACATGTAAAGTTTGACGCATACATGGTGTTTTACCATTGTTAGAGTACCGAAGCTATTGATCATCGAACCAGACATTGCATGCAACCTTCTCCCCTTGCACCCCCCATCTGCTTTTCACAAAGCAGGCCCATAGTCCTTTTTTTAATCTATTTCTTTTCTTTTTTTAATCCCTTTTTTTAAAAATCAAAATCATAAAAATTAAAAAAATTAGATATAGATTTTAATTAATTAACTTTATTTTCATAATAAAAATTAATTAATTTAATCACTGCAAGTTTATTTTATTAATTAAAATATAATTAGAATTAGACTTTAATTATCATTCAATTATTTTTCTAAATAAAAACACCAAAAATATTTTTCATACTTAGAATTTTTTTAGATATCTTGCCCTCTTCAATCTTTGCGCATTTATTTACTTTTTCGCATTTTTTTCCAATATTGTAACTGTCCAAAGTTTGCAATAGCTAATTAGGATCCTTTTACATTTGTATCCCCATTTTATGGTTTGTATTCCCCATCCCCGAAGTGATGTAATATCGTAGTTTAATTCCCGCACTTTTATTTTCTGCCCTTATGTATATATTTAACTGTTAGACTAATTAGGTGTGTATGACAAGACTTAAAATTAAAACACTAGAAAACCTAACTTCAAGATCAATAACTGAAATATAAAAAACTTCGCACACACGCACCTCTAGAGTGACCCTCACTTGTTGCCTTCGGAAAACAAACAGCCACGTTTGTCGAACGTAAGAAATTTTAGCAAAGACTCTTTGGTTAAAAGATCATAGTCCCTCGACGACCCTTCGATGATGCCTCGGTAAATAATCTTAGTACCTTATGGTAATTGCTAAAGTATCTTACGAGTTGCCTTCGTGACTGTGCGATGACCCGCGCCTGTCCCTCAAACATCCAATGATAGGGCTATCCACCAACTAATGGTAGGATAACACCATCTAAAGGAAAAGAGGAAAAGAACAAAGATCTTTTGGGTAGGTAGATAGTTTGTAGTTGCTTGCTCACAAAACAAAACAAATTTCTCACACATACACTCTCTTTTCTAAATATTTTCAAAGACAAAAAACACTTTGTATGCATTCTCAATGATACGAGAATCATTATAAAGTTTGCCGCACTAAGACATCTTTTCAAAATATTTTCAAAACACACAAACACAAAGCATTTTAAAAAGTGAGCTAGCAGCTAAGAGCCCGTGGATAACTACGGATAAAAAGGGTGATAATACCTTCCCTTTCTATAATCAACCCCCCGAACTCAAAATCTTTAAAAAGGCCGTTCCTGTTCTTTTCACTCTTTCCTTTATTGGATAAAAGAAAAGTCGGTGGTGACTCTTGCTAACTGTAACATTTGCGATAAAATGCAAAACCAGTAAAGTTAGTTCTCCCACCGTATTACACTTAGCATTTTCTTTTCATTATTATTTCCCATTATGCGTTCGTTAACTTAACATAAACAAAAATAACCTAAAAACAACTTTTTTCCAAAAGACAAAAAGTAAACTTGACCCAATGTCAAATGTTTTCAAAACCAAATTCAATTGAACACCATATGAATGCTTGGTTCAACGTCGATTACCTCTTTCATTTATTTCACAATTGGCAAAAACTTCAAACATTTGATCTAATATTAAGTCATTTTTCAAACTTTTTCACAATAAATTGGAAGAAAATAAATGACGTGTACGTACTTGTGCATATCATCTCTCAAGTACTCGGGTTGACGGTCATACCTAACTTGTGGGCCAATGCTTGTCTTCCATTCAAAACACTTAAAAAATAAACGAGTTTAATCGGTCCTCATGGGATGAAAAAGAGAGGTCATGATACATTTGTCATTTCAGCTCCCGAGTATTATGATTGTTGGTTGTGCTTAGCTTATGGTTAGATACTTGTCTCTTTAAGTACCAACAATTAAATTCATTTGACAAATTTCATAAAAAATATTTTGGGATAAAAAAAGAGAGGTCTGAATACTTTTGTCCATTCAGCTTCTCGAGCACTTGGATTGCTGGTCGTACTTAACTTGTGGTTTGATGCTCGTCTCCCATGTAAAATCAATCATAACCAATCAAAACCTTATTTTTGCTTTAGGTGCTCAAACCTTTTCAAAATGACACGTTATTTCTATTCTACCGCAATATAAATAAACACTTAAGTCTCCTATGCATGAGTATACAAGCAACGTTTAACTGCTAGGACACAAACATTAACATTGTCTAATGAAATCAACCAACAAATAATTATTTTCTACCCCACGAACTACAAAGCTCTGATTTTGTCATTGCACTATGAGAATACGTAGGCACAGGATTTCGAAATCTTGGCGAGCACACTAATTAAAAACTTATTTCCCCCCCAATTAAATCCATTAGTAAAACAATAAACCGCAAGTAAACTTAAACAACACCCTTACACGCAAAACAATCAAAATGGTTTCTGTTGTGTACAACAGATGTGTGAGGGGTGCTAATACATTCCCCTTGCATAATCGACTATCGAACTCAAATTTGGTCATGATACCATTTCTTTTTCACTTTAGGAGTTTTCTCGATATTTTCCCTTTCCTTTGGAATACATAAAGTTCGCCATTATGTATTTTTGTAGTGATGCGACACTTACCTCTTGCTCGATTAAGTGAGAAAATTTATCCATGCATAATACAAAGATATATAGAGATAACAAATCACCTTGGCGAATACCACGATGAGGTCGAAAATAACTATTTCTCGCACCATTCTAATTCACATTTATTTCCACGCTCGTCACACCATGCGTAATAAGATTAATCATTCTTTCAGGAAGTTTAATCTCAACCCGAGTATGCCGAATGAAATCCCACCTTAATTTATCATAAGCTTTCGAGAGATAGACCTTTATAGCAAAATATCATATACTCCCATTCACCTTCTCCATGGTATGCATAACTTTTTTTGCAACAATGATGTTCTCGTGAATGGATCTTCCTGTAACAAACCCTGCTTGATAAGGGGAAATTAGTTTGTCCATGCTCTTTTTCAATCTTCCTGCTATAGTCTTACTTATCACCTTGTAAATAGTATTACACAACAAAATCATTCGAAATTGTATCACCTTACTTGGACGATCAACCTTTGGAATAAGGCATATGTCTATTTGTTTGACATCTGCAATCTCGTCGGATTTCTCTCATATTCTTCGCACAAAGTTACACACATTATTGCCTATAACTTGTCACGACCTTTGATAAAAATCACTGGAATGCCATCCGAACCAGGTGCTTTCCAATATTTCATATAAAAAGAACTTTCTTGTCTTACTCAATACAAATTTGGTGTTAATACATTTTTCAATTTTATGTTTTAAAAAGAATAATTCACTTAGCCAAACTTAATGATTTAGTTATTTTAACTTTAATTCAGATTGATGACACTCATTATTACATACTAAAAACAAGCTTTGATCATAACACACTCCTAGCTAATTTCATTCTCCGATGAAAGAAATGTACACAATACAAATATAAAGTGGTTTGTAGTTGTAAAAAAAAAAAAACTCTTTACAAACTAACTTTGAGAAGGAATACACAAGAAAGAGAAAGAAAACGAAATAGAAGTGAGACGCATAGTGGGAGTAACGTCACTTGCACTGAGTAGCCAAGTGTTTGTTACTGATTACTGTATCTATTAAATTAGATAGTGCGTGTATTCAGTTCGGTTTGGACTCGTAACAGTAAAGCAGGATGGAATTACTTCCGTCAGAATCAGCTCCGATCTCAAGAAAACAAGGGTTCCGATCACTGAAACTCGTAAACGCCGACATGAACCAACTCCTCACCGGCGAACCAGTCGGCGTCGACTTCGGCACACTCGATAACGGCCTTCGCTACTACGTTCGCTGCAATTCCAAGCCTCGTATGAGAGCTGCTCTCGCACTCGCCGTCAGAGTCGGGTAATTAATCAACCTATCATTATTCATAACCTAACTCATCGATTATCTTTTCTTTCAGTTCCTCAATCGATTCTCGTGTTTTTCATCGCAGATCAGTTCTTGAAGAAGAAGACGAACGTGGAGTTGCTCACATTGTTGAGCATCTTGCTTTCAGTGCTACGAAGAGATACAATAATCATGATATTGTGAAGTTTCTTGAAAGTATTGGAGCTGAGTTTGGTGCTTGTCAGAATGCAGTTACCTCTTCCGATGACACGGTTTATGAGCTCTTGGTTCCGGTTGATAAGCCGGAACTGTTGTCTCAGGCTATTTCAGTTTTGGCTGAATTCAGTTCAGAGGTAATAACAATAAGTTAACTCTATTGAATTATGTTACGCTCTTTGCTTTATTTGTTTTTTTATTTGTTATAGTTGTTGTTGTAATTAGATTGCTATATGTGCAGATTCGAGTCTCGGAAGATGACTTGGAGAAAGAAAGAGGAGCCGTTATGGAAGAGTGCAGGGGAAGCAGAAATGCGATGGGGAGGCTACAGGATGCTCATTGGGCTTTGTTGATGGAAGGTTCAAAGGTACATGAACCCAATACTTGCTGCCTATGTAGTACTAACACACTGACACCTGTAGTTAAATTCAACAATTCAGTTTGCTCAAATTATTACCTGTGTCAACGTGTTAGTGTTTTGTCCGGTGTAGTGTATGTATTAGTGCTTCATAGGTTGCTGCTACTAGTCAATGTTAAGTGATTTTATATTGTAAGTTACGTAGGGGTGATTTTTGGGAATTATTTATGTTGTTGCATAAAGCTTTTAATTGATTTCAGTATGCTGAAAGGTTACCAATTGGACTTGAGAAAGTGATTCGGACGGTTTCTCCCGAGACTGTGAGGCGTTTTTACAAGAAATGGTACAATTTATGCAATATGGCTGTTATAGCAGTTGGAGATTTTTCTGACACACAGGTTCCTTATGTTGTTTATCTTCTTTTTATGTTATGGTTTTTTGTTTGGTTAGTTGTTTATACTAATCTCTTTCCCTCTTACAATTTCAGAGTGTAGTTGAGTTGATAAAGACTCATTTCGGCCAGAAAATCCCAGCACCTAAGCCTCCACCTATACCAACATTCCTGGTGCCATCACACAATGAGCCACGATTTTCTTGTTTTGTTGAATCTGAAGCTGCTGGGGTAAGTAAGTAACAAATCATTAACTTTTGGCAATTTTCCCGGGTTTTTTGCTAGGAAATTTGTCTTGATTGGAAACTAACATGTTACTTTGGGTTTGTCCAATAATAGTCTGCAGTTATGATTAGTTATAAGATGCCAGCAAATGAGCTTAAAACAGTAAAAGACTACAGAGATTTACTTGCAGAATCCATGTTCCTCTCTGCATTAAACCAGAGATTCTTTAAAATATCTCGTAGGAAAGATCCACCCTATTTCTCATGCTCCGCTTCTGCTGATGTTTTAGTCCGTCCAGTAAAGGCCAATATTATAACTTCATCATGTAGAGGAAAAGGATCTCTTGAAGCCCTAGAATCAATGTTAATAGAGGTGCTTTCACCTTTGATCTGAAAAGCTGCGCGTTCTTTGTTTTTTTCACTCTTCTTTCACTTTCATTCTTTTCTTCTTTTATGGTTTGAAATTTATGACAATTACATTTTAGGTTGCAAGGGTGCGGCTTCATGGCTTTTCAGAGCGCGAAATATCTATAGTTCGTGCACTGCTGATGTCAGAGATTGAATCTGCCTTTTTGGAACGAGATCAAATTCAATCTACCAGCTTGAGGGATGAATATCTACAAGTATGTTATACTAATACTATATTTCTTTGTTTACATTAAAATGGACAATAATAAATTGTGCATCATTTTGAACATAATTCTTTGTTAATGCAGCATTTTCTCCACAACGAACCTGTTGTTGGGGTTGAGTATGAAGCTCAACTCCAGAAGACCCTTCTACCACGTGAGTTCGGGTTGATATATCATGTGTTTTTTTGTCTTTGAGTTCTAATATAAAATTTCTGGATGTACTTAGATAATGTTTGTTATTTATGAATATTTATACCCCTCAGATATATCAGCATTAGAGGTCTCTAAATGTTCCGAGAAATTACGGACGTCTTGTAGCTGTGTCATAAAGACCATTGAGCCCAGAGCATTTTCTGTGTCTGATGATCTGAAAAATGTTGTTAAGAAAGTCAATATTCAGGAGGAAGAGGGTAGAATTTCTTCATGGGATGATGAACATATTCCAGAAGAAATTGTCCCTACAAAACCAAATGTGGGGTGAGTTTAAAGGGAAATACCTTTCTCTATCTTACTTTCATTTGCCTATGTAGTTCTTTGCTTTCTAATTTTTGGCTCAGATTTTACAAACCCGTTCGATGTGTAATTCCCACGTTCATATATTCTTGTAATCATTGTTGGTAATTCAACCTGAGATTTTCTTCCTGTTTTTCTGATGATCCAACATTCGCAGTTTTAGTGATTATCATGATTCATGAGGTCATTGTAATGTTATAACTTATAAGCATGAAGCTTTAGTGGTTCTCTTGTAACTCTTCTTATTTAGAGTTGAATTCATGTAATGAAAATAAAGGAAATTCCATTTCCTTTGTAGGTAATAACTATAGGTTTAGGCGTACTTTTCCTTCATTCTAAATCCTCTATGCACATCTTGATTTGTTATAATAACAATTTCAAATTGAGTTTCAGAACTGTTAAGGAGAAGTTTAAAATCTCCTTACTTGGTTTTCCTTATAGGAACCAATTGTTTATTCTTTTGGCTATTTTCATTTACTTTGCCATTAGGCTTTGTTTAATTAAAATCTTGATTGTTCTAAGCATTAAGATGCCAGTTTATATGTTTAACCAGCTAGTATTTTATATGTAATATAGGGCTTCATATATCAGTTATTAAACTGCGGGCTAAGTTTCCTAATTAGATAATTTTCTTCCAGTAAAGTTTAGTTTTTGGAAATAACATTCTAATCTTTTTTATCTTCTTCCTAATAAGGCATGTTGTGAAGGAATTGGAATACTCAAATATTGGAGCTACTGAACTAGTTCTGTCAAATGGGATGCGGATCTGCTATAAGCGCACAGACTTCCTTGATGATCAGGTTTTGATCCTTCTAGGCATTGCTTATCATAGTTCATATGTATTTTCTCATACAAACATTGACCAATTTCTGCATCAATCTCATTACAGACTTACAGTATTACTATTACATTATTAACTGACAACTTAAAATTTTGTTAAGTATTGCTATTGCATTATTAACTGACAACTTAAAATTTTGTTAATCTATATGTACTGACCCCTAATAGAGTTTCATCAAACTACTTGAACCTAGAGGTGTTCATAAACCAATCCAGTTCGGGTCAAACTGGAAAAAACAAAAACAAACCATTTTTTAAAATTTAATTCCATTAGCTCGGCCTTTGGTTACTAAGCTATAAATCAATCCAATCAAACCAAACTCAAATGATGAATTTTTATATATGTATGTCTGTATATATGTATTTTGTACCTACAACATTCAACATTTTCAGTTTTAGTCCCGATTTTTTTTTTAATTTTGTATGCTTTTGGTCCCAGATTAGTTTTCCATTGCAGTTCTAGTCCCTATTGATTAGTGCTGGACACGCTTGTACGTAGGGGTGGCAAACAGACATGTCCGCCCCGCAAAAAACGGGATGGGGCAGACATAGTAGAGCAAGGTTGTCAAAATCAGGATCTTGCATAAGATCGGTAGGGGATGGTAAGATTGTAAAATATAAGATCGTAACTAAGATCGGGAGATCCTACTCAATTATTTTCGTAAGATCGAGAGGGGTAGCAAGATTGCAAAACATAAGATTGTAACGAAAATCTTAAGATACTACTTAAGCGGAAAATAATAGTACATATTTGAAGTATATCTACATGATATTTTCGTAGGCAAGTGTATTCGTGGGAAAATGGACGCTGCTGGACCGAAATTGTTGTGCCTTTGTATCTTGTCATCCTTCTTGGCTTGTAAAGGTGGTGGCTGGAATTGGCAAATCGCACATAATCATTGGTTTTACCATTCTTTTTCACAATTCGACTACCACACACGATTCTACTTAAGATCTAGGTTGGGGGTGAGTGAGATTGTAAAAGCGTAAGATTTTAAGGTTTAGATCGTGATTTTGATAACCATGTAGTAGAGGATGTGGATCTAAAACTTTAGCTTGACCCGCAAAAAAATGAAGGCGGAGCGGGGGCGGGCACGACGAACCCTGTACCCTAGAGCCTAAAAGTTGCAAAATTCATGTTAATGCCGGCGCCCGCAAAAGTCCATAAAAAAACAAGGCGGGCATAGTAGTGGGTGTGGGCCTAAAACCTTGGTCAACTCAAGGTTCAGTTGATATATATGCGGCGCAGTGCAAAAGTTGCATGAAGTGGAAAGTGATTGATATGCAGGAGGAGTTTGAAGAGATCCGACATAAAGTCATTCAAGAACCTTTTGACTGTAGCAGAAAGGCTAACTGTTGCTGTGATGATCCTGCTAATATTGAATATGATTCTACTTGGTACTGAGGAAAGATTACTCTAACTAAATTGAACTCTTACTACATCACACCTACCGGTAAAAAACTGAGAACCTGCAAGGAGATAGCAGCATACCTAAAGACCACCCAGAACTAAGTGGTGTATTTGCTTCGGATTTGATTTTTCATCCCCAAAGATAATGCAATACACTATATCAGAATATATTGACCAGAAGGATTCTGTTCTGCTAACAAAAAAGCTAAGATAACTTAGAATGATGTCTGAGAAATATCATCACAAGTTTGCTGCATGCTGTTGATGCTGATTTTGGTTGGTGTGTTTGTTGTATAATATATCTAGTGACTGATAGGGGGAACACCAACCCTGTGGCATTGAAACATATGTTTGTTCTTGCTGTCTTTTGTACTAAACAGATATTCACTGCCTATGTGTTGAGTAATCAGAACACCCCCCAAAAAAACCAATAGTGCTGGGTGTGAGGGGATTGGTTTAAGATAGAGCCTAATAAGAGTTTATATAGAGTGACACCCCTCACCTTACAAGCTAATTTTGTATGGATGAGTTAGGCCAAACTATAATTCTAATACTCTGTTTCGTAGTAACTTGAAATTGAAAATAGCATACACAAACATTTATTATTAAGCATATACTAATAGATTATTCCCATGAATGGTGTTCCATTATTTTTGTGGTGTTAGAATTTTGGCAGAAAATTATCAGTTCTAATCTACAGACGTGTGTCACAACAGGTTATCTTCACAGGTTATTCATATGGTGGCTTGTCTGAACTACCAGAAAGCGAGTATTTCTCTTGTTCAATGGGACCAACCATTGCTGGGGAAATCGGTGTGTTTGGTTATAGACCATCTGTCCTAATGGATATGCTTGCTGGCAAGAGAGCTGAAGTTGGCACCAAGATTGGTGCATATATGAGAACTTTTTATGGTGATTGTTCACCTTCAGACCTGGAAACTGGCTTGCAGGTATATTTGATTTAATTAGCAAAATTATGTCTCTCCTTTCATTATATGGTCACAACTTAAAGTAGTATGATGTTGCTCACAACCAATAGAGCACGTTAAAAACCATTGTTAAATTATATAACATATTTATGTTTTAAAGTAGGAAGCCAGTATTTTTATCTTTTAGTAATGTAATCATAATCTTTCTCTAAATGCCTGGTAGTATTTCCCCTTTTTTTCATGAATTTCTTATAGACATAACATAACTTGAATATATCAGTTCCATCTATATTTAAGTTATAAGGTAATTTTGTTGTTACTGTAGTTTTAAGCTATACCCTGTTGCATTGGAATCAATCAAAACTTTTCATTGTATTTCTGGCTTTTGGTTCGGTTGGTAGCGATACAATTTTCCAAGATTATGTTGCATATAAGGTGCTTGTCTCAGTGCCTTAAAATCTTCCAATCCTTGCATCAGCTTCAGTGTGAAGTTATTCCTAATTAAACCTCTTCTATCTTGTGTTTTCTCCCTTTTATTCTTATACACTTGAAAGTGCATGCATCTTAGTATAGTCACCCAGCAGGTGTGTGTTTAGGTTTGTTGGTGTGCTAGTATGGTATTCATTTTTTCTCTGCAAGTTCTTTAAGCCACTTAGTTTCTTAGCAGCATTCAAGTTTGTCCGGTCCCAGCTTTTCCCAAAAAGTATATTTTGATTTCCTCATTTCTGAGTGCACTGTACTTTTGATGCATAACACATTTTATTGTGTAATTTTGAATTGTTTAGCACAACCTAGCTTGAACTATTGGCCTGCATTAGTTATATATCAATCAAGAATGGATGATTTTTTAGTGAGATCTGTGACTGTGACAATATGATGTGCCTATTATCATATTACCATATTATCACAATTCACAAGTGTTATTTCTTGTTGGATTTTTTTCAACGATTCCGGTGGTTACATCCACATTTGCAGACAGACATTAGTTCTAATCTTCAATTTTTGCTCTCTTTCTTCTTATTCTGATATCATTTATTTATTCATTCTTTTTTCAGCTTGTCTATCAGTTATTTACAACAAATTTAACCCCAGACGAAGAAACTGTCAAAATAGTGATGCAGATGGCTGAAGAAGCAGTCTGTGCTCAAGATAGGGATCCTTATACTGCTTTTACAAACCGTGTAAAGGAGCTTAATTATGGAAACTCCTATTTTTTTAGGGTATGACTTTTTCTGGTGTCAGTTTAATCATGGACTGAATAAACTACTCTCGACTTTCAACATATTATTTTTCATGCAGCCGATTAAAAAACGTGACCTACAAAAGGTTGATCCTCTGAAAGCTTGTGAATATTTCAGCAAATGTTTCAGAGATCCTTCAGCCTTTACAGTTGTGATTGTTGGGAATATTGATCCTACTATTGCACTGCCCTTAATATTGCAGTACCTAGTAAGTATAAATCTTACCAAAAGCTAGCTGACATCGAATAATTCTATACCAATTGATATCTTTCCATGCAGGGCGGAATACCAAAGCCCCCTGAACCTATTATGCATTTTAACCGTGATGAGCTGAAAGGATTGCCTTTCACTTTTCCAACAGTCATCCATAGGTATATCAATGCATTGCATTCACAAACAGAAGGTGTTGGTGTTGCAATAATTTTTGTGTAATTTTGAAGCATCAGGAAAAGATGTGAAAATTTTGAAATAAACTATATATGTTGTTTGGCCTAGCTCTACTTTTGGTCTCGAGTTTGGATTCTGTGAGCCAATCAAATCCCTCTATTTTTGAAGTTATGCAAATTCATCTTGCTGTCAATGTTTTATCACCCAAAACCCTTGAATTATAATTTTTTATTGTATGGATTTGGGAAATGAATTTCACATGCTTTCTATCCAAATATTTGTGGGTTTATTTTAAAAGGAAAAAAGAAATGACCATGCTTTGATATCATCTCTAAAAGGCTGCATATTCTTCTCTATTGCACCTTTTTACAATTACATTATTAAGTGTGCATGGATACTGAAACACTTTTTAAGGATTCAGTGAATTCATCTTCCAAATAAACAATGTTCTTCGATTGTAGAGAAGTGGTTCGAAGTCCTATGGTGGAAGCACAATGTTTGGTGCAGATATGCTTTCCCGTGGAGCTGAAGAATGGGACCATGGTCTGTGCTTCTGTCTTTTGCTTTTGCTGAATACATGGGATTATATAAAAACATGTATTGACTGCGTCTTACAAATAACTTGTATAATCCGTGGTCCTGTTTGGGGCATGACTTGCAGGTAGAAGAGATTCACTTTGTTGGGTTCCTGAGCAAGCTTCTGGAAACAAAAATAATGCAGGTTCTCCGTTTCAAGCATGGGCAGGTGTGTATCAGTGTTTTCCTTGAGTCATTTTATATGGTACATTAATTCTGAGATTTCACCTCTATGCACCAGATATACTCTGTAGGTGTTTCGGTATTCCTTGGCGGTAATAAACCCTCAAGAACTGGTCTTGTTCGTGGAGATGTTAGCATAAATTTCTCATGTGATCCAGAGATATCTTCCAAGCTGGTAAGTCTCATGCATTTGTAAAATAAGCTAACTTTTTACGCCACTATATGGTGAAAATACTGTCTTGTAAATCATTTACAGGTAGATATTGCTTTAGACGAAATGTTGCGTCTTCAAGAGGAAGGACCTACAGAGCAGGATGTTTCAACCGTACTTGAAATTGAACAAAGAGCGCATGAGAATGGATTGCAGGTTAATTTAGCCTTAAAGTTTGTTTCATTAACATAGCCTTTTCTATGCTATCAATGTAATAGAATATATACACCCGGACAAACAAATTATCATTTCCCATCTCAACTTTAAACAATGATAAAGTTCAAAAGCTCCTTCTCACGTCTCTTTTATCTTCAAGCGCGTCCTGATTTGTGGATGAAAGGGATGGATCGTGGAAGTAACATCACGCTCTCAATTTTCTTTTTCTTATTTTCACATTCTCTTTCAGGAAAATTATTTCTGGCTGGACAGGATTTTACACAGCTACCAATCAAGAGTCTATTCTGGTGACGTTGGCACTTCTTTTGAAGTTAGTGTCTATTACTGTCTTTTTGTTTGTATTTTCTGTTTCAATAAGCTCAATTGCTGTCTGTCACGAGGATCAGTGTTTACATTTTGATTTTCCCCAGTGGGAAAGGATTGAATTTTAGCTTCTAATTCTAGTACTGTTGCTTTAGTTTAAAATGAAAGCTTAAATGTAGAATATCTCTCTATTTCAGTTAATGTTGAAATTATAGGGTTAGTCTTTTGAATCTAAAGGTAGGAAAAGGAATACTCAAAATAATAAAAGTATAATATTTCTTTACACTAATAATTTGAAAATCAATCCTAAGAGATAATTGAAGTTACTCTAAAATTACTCCATAGATTTGATGAAAATATTGTAAGATATTTTTCCTATATCCTAATAATCCCTTATTGAATGTGGCATTGTATTTTTTATCTTTTTGCAAGTTATGATCTAATACAAATAACCATTCAGCTTTTCCTTTCACGATCTTGATTAGAAAGTGCGTCCAGGCATAATTTTTTTTAAATATATTATTAAATGATCTATTTGTGTTGCCTATTATGATGGCAGCATAGGTTACAGAGTCATGTTATTCCTTTTCGTATAAATGAGAAGTTATTTATTCTGCAACTATCTGGCTGCAGATTCAAGATGAAGGGCGGTCAAAAGTTAGATCGTCTCTTACACCATCAGCTGCACAGTTGGCACTACAAAGAATATTGCCTTATCCTTGCAAAAAACAGTATACTGCGGTGATTCTTATGCCCAGGTCTTCTCCTTTAAAGTTCCTGAAAGCAGTATTCCAATCTACTCGAACTAACAGTGGCAGAGAAGCAAAGGTCTGTTACTATAGGTCTCTTGTGGGGAGATTTATGCCCGGGTTACATTATGAACAACCATAATCACACTTGTTGCTTTTTTTCTATTGCAGATTTTAGCTGGAATTGCTGGTCTGGCAGTTTTGGCTCTTAGTTTGTGGAAACATCTGCGCAGTGGTCATGTTAATAGCAGACATTTACTTGGCAGAACAACTAAGTAGAAGTTTTCCAACAGTGTGATTCTTGAGTATTTCACTAAAGATAGAACGTGCATATCAACATTGTAAGAGTAGATCATCATTATGTAAAACACATGTCAGTTATGACTTAGAAGGTAAGTTAGGTGTTAGCTGTATGTGGGACTAAGAGCTTGAAACGAAACATCTATATATTGAGTTGTGCTTCACCCTCATGGCCGCATCATGCAGTTTCACTTGCATCTTGACAAGAGTAACTGGAAAGTGGATGCTAGCGCAATATTGTATTTATGACTCTGGCTATTTTCTTGTCTCTCACAAATTAGTAATTTTGTTAGACACAGTTCCTGGGCAGAACAAGAGTGCTCCTGATGCATGACCATTGACACTAACAAGAGTGCATCTGTGTCATTTATTAGTTTTCTATTTTTTGCATGAATCACTTTGAAGATTCAAAGGGGATGATAGGTGGCGAGAGATTTTTATTGTGATGAGAAGTGAGTAGAAGCAAAAATAAGGATATATTTGGCAGTATAAAACATTTTCCGATTGTATGTTTGTTAAACTCTAATTAGTTTTCTGTGTTAAAAACATTTGTATAAAAATCTAGGAATCAGATTGTCTGACATTTGGGCGCCAACGTCACTCTACCTTTTGAGAATTTTAGATCGTCTGATAAATTAGGTTATGGATTTTACGCCATGTGGGTATTAGTAAAATAATTTGAAAAACATTTCTGTGGAGTTACATTTCACAGTCCTCTCTCACTGTCTTAACCTTTAGGGGAAGATGAATGGTTGTTGTTCCATGGCGATCACACCATTTGCAGATCTAAAAGATAAACTCCACCACCTAATTTTCACCATGTATTGTTTGATTTGGGGCTATTTGACTGCAGATCTGAAGTACATCACAACATCAGAAATTTTGCAAAATAATTTTGATTTGGAACTGACAGAACTAGATTTCATCTTTTTCAGTTTTTCTAGTCTTATTCCTTTTGGATCCCATTTGATATAGTTTCATTTGTTCTACTTGTATTGTTTATTGCAATTCAATTTCATTTTTTCCTGCTACAATTTGATTTGCATGTCATGGTGAGAGAGACCATAACAAAAGTTGAAATTGGCAGCAAAGAAACGATGGCTGGCCGGCAACACACAGTAACGACAGCCAAACTCAGAAAAGTGGTGAATAGTTTTTTGTCGGTGTACCGTCCCCCTTATCTGTCTGTTTTATTAAAAAAAATTATTATTATTAGACACATGGCTTTATCTAAGTGATATGATATATCAAACAATCAAAATTTACCAAAAGTCACTAACGTTGCCGCGCTAACGTTAGAGGATCCGCTTCCAAAAATCTATAAACACAATATATATAATAAGACACTTAGTTGGCTGCACAAACACGATCAATCTTTTAGGAAATTTGAACAACTACTCTCGAAGTTGCAAAACTAAGCTCTTACTAATAAGTTAATATTTCTTCCGATCTCTTATAAGAAAAAAAATTATTTTAGTTACATTGAATAGCTAATATATTTTGAAATTAAGTTAAGGGTGTTGTTCACTATTCTTTATGTAGTGATCACATCATATGGAAATTCAAAAATGTCATTTACATTCTGAGTTTAAAATTTGAATGCGTTTATTATACATTAAATCACTGAATCAAAGAGGCACTGTCATTTTTGCTAAAAGTTATGTTTGGAATTAACCTATAGACGCCATCTAGGTTATAATATCTCAATATCTAAAAATTCAAGTAAATAAACAAATTTGACTATCCTCTTGTATGCATACCACTCTTCATGTTTTTTTATGACTGGAACACTATTTTTTGAAAAGTCCTACAAAAATTTCTTTCCATTCTCATTCAAGATTTTTATTTCAAAATAACATTCTATTTTATTTTAACATCAAAAGGAGCACAGAAAATTGAAATTTCAGATAATATATATGTATTTTGTTGATCATTACTTGAGATCATCTGGTTTAGTTTGTTGAAATATGTATGTTGCATTAGGATTTTGAAATTTGATTTTTGTTACACTATGTCTGGAATTTGAATTGTCTTCTGTTATGATTGATTGTGGTTACGGTGCACTTTGATGTTGTTCCTGATGATGTCCCCGAGGCTATTGTACCTATGGATGTTAACCCGGGTGATGTCCATGTAGATGTTGGAAAATAATATACAAATAAACAGGAGTTTGTTATGTGTGAACATATGTTTCAATGAGTTCGCACAAATGCTGTCAAATTAGGGTTCAACATTGTGTTTGCAAGGTCGCTTCTGGTTTTGATAGAAGACAGACATTTATGATGTTGAGATGCGAAAGAAGTGGCTAGTATAAAGAACCTATATAAAAATTAAAACACGATGACACCAGAACGAGGAAATATGAGTGTCATTTTAAGTTGTGTGGGTACCATAAGGCGAATAATACATGAAATTTTAATGTGGTTTATTATAGACATAATCATGCTTTGTGTTTTGTGCTGGCCAAAGGCCCAATAAGCAAGACCCAATTATCCCGCCCACTCCGTCAAAGCCCAAGGTATAGATACATTCTCAAAGGATTTTCAAGTACACAATCTCTAATCTCCACTTTCATTACGATTATCTTAAACCATAACTAACTTAGGCGTTGGAGTGCAAACCATGCAGGTATCTCCTAGATCTATCACACCAGAGATTAAAGACACCAGTTCTAGATAAACACATCTTATTCTGAAAGCGTCATGATCACAACCTTTGGATTGAGATGCTCATCCCTGGAATCGCCGATAGAAGCTTTGTTTCATCGTAGCTTTCACGATCTCCTTTATTTCTGGTTCCACCATGGAACAGTGGCGCCGTCTCTGGGAAACAACTCGATTCATACAATTTTCACATCAAATTAGAATCATACTTAACCTTGCGATCCAAATGACCTTCACAAATCCACGTTCTATGTTCACATCTCTCTAGATCTCAAAAGTCGCGGTGTTCGGGAGCAAGCACGGAGGTTCGCTATCGCCAATTTGGTTGGTCACTGCCTCAACATCAGTTTCGTCGTCAAGATATACAGTTCCCTCTAAGATCCCGAATATCAGAGAGGAATATGGTCTTGGGTCAAGATCTAGGATTGTGTTGGTCTCCGAAGAGTGTTTTCGTGAAAGTTGAGTGCAAACCCGACAAACCAGAGATGCATGCACTTTCGACCATAACCAAGATGGTCACAAGGGAAGCATCAGTCAAATATTACAAGTTCGTAATTAATGACGCTCGGGTGTCACGAATTCATAGTTAACATCGGGCGCTAAACGAATATCGGGGTGCACCTTAAAGATCTCGTAAGATTTCCACTAGATGCAATATGACTTCTACTGAACGGACAATGAAGAAAGGGTCCACTAGAGATGCCCAATGAAAGATGTCCCGGGCCCTAGCCATTAAAAGAATTATCGGTATCCATATTTCACAGTCGTCCAACAGTCCAGTTTGACAAATTCACCATGGAAGCTCTCGAGTTCTGTTTGAGAAGGGAATGAACAAGTTAAAGGTGAGAAAAATACAAGAAGGGGTTGAGTTGTGTTAAGTTTTTAATCTCTTGTCAGTTTCTGATCACAAGGACAAAATCTGAGTAAGAGTTTGATGGTGATAACAACGAAAGAACGTTAATCAGAAATAGAGAGAGCAAGAAAATACACAAACAATTATCTCGGTTCCCCTAGAAATCAGGAGTAGTTCAATCCCCTTGTACTTCCGAGAGATTTCCACTATAACCAAATCTAATTACAAATTACTCATGCACACAAGCAATGGACTTTCAATGCCCAAACACACAAGTAAGGGACTTCAATGCTCAAGCACACAAACAAGAGATTCAGATGCTCAAAAACACAAGCAAGAGACTTCTAACTGCTCAAGCACACATGCGAGAGACTTAAATACTCAATCACACAAACAAGAGACTTCTAAATGCTCAAGCACACAAGCAAGAGACTTTTGACTTTATAATAAAAATAAGCTACACTTGATATACAATCAGAGGTGTAGACAAAATTCAACACAAAAAACTCTAAGACTTAAGAACTTCTAAGAATGTACAATTGGTAAGAAGTTCTAAGTTTAACTTGTGCTCTTTGTTTTGACAGATTAACTTCTCTTTGTTTGTCAAGGCGCAACATGTAACACCCCGTTTTCGATTTAAATTATTTTAATTAAAAATAATTATGTGATGTGGTGTTTTTGGTGTATTTTGTTGAACGTCAAATATATTGTTGTGCCTTAGCGAGGGTTGAGTACCTTAGATTTGTTAAATAATTAAGGTATTTGGAGTGTATGACTAAAAATGTAGAAAAATAGAGGTGGAAGGAGAATGTTGGTCTAATAATAATATTGTTTGAATTAAAATAATAATTATAGTTTTTATAATTATATTATTATTTTAATGAGGAAGGGCAAAGTTGGTATTATGAATTAGGGGTCCTAAGGTCAGTGTTGGAATAAAATAGAGTTGAGAATAGAGAAGAGAAAAACAACGTAGAAAACAGAGAAAAAGTTTGTAGAAGAGAGAAGAAGAGAAAGAGGCTAGGGCAAGAAGTTTCACCGTAAGAGTCAAGAACCAGCAAAATCCAAGGTAAGGATGGGGTTCTAACTCTATAATGGATTGCATGATGATGGGAAATGGTAGTGATTAGGTATCATGATTGTGTGTTCTTGATTTCTCATTACTATTGCAATGTGGGATTTTGTATTTTGATGAGTTGTTGATTATAAATCTGATGAAATTGGTTTAAATTGTTGATGTGAGTTGTGTTGGGATGATGAGTATGGAGTGTGTGTTTTATGCAATCATATAATACTGATTTGAATTGATAATTGGGATGTTTTAGGGATGATTGGAACAAGAATCATGTTCTGGAAAATAACAGAAAAATCTGTTATGCGAAGCAGAAACCAGTTTCTGGTTTTTGGGAAATCGGTTTTTGCCTGAGAAATTGCAGAAGAAACATGTTTATGTCTGAGAAGAA